GGGGGGGGGGGGGGGGGTCGGCAACCACCATATCTAAGATCGTATGCCCTTATATTTTAAAAAATAAAGCGGCCAGCTGGCGCAGTGGATATGTGGTCGTATATATCACATATTAAACTGGTCAAAACCGTAAAAAGTAAAAAAAGACTGGTTTAAAGTGGGAGTTAAACGTTAAAAAAGAACCATATAGACGGGATCGTCCTCAAAGAGTCAAAGAGGACGATCCCGTCTACATGGACTAGCTACGGCGGGAATCGAACCCACGACCTCCTATAGTTACCTCAGGAATGCTAACCACTACACCACGCAGCCGTAGTTTATTATTAAAAGGAAAGAACTAACACAAGCTATATTAAACATTACACATTACTAAGCCACTTACACCACCACTTACACCACCACTAACTGCTCTTCCAGATCCTCCTCAACCATATCCCAAAGCTCCCGAAGCCCCCGTCGATTAGTAAATACTCCGTTCGTTTCCACCATCCTATCCACACGTTCCTGGACCCGGCGCTCCTCGGCTGCGTTCCAGTCTAAATAAGCCATCATTTCCTCTCTAGTCCACTCTCTAGTACCACAACGCTTCCCCATCTCCTTCCAGTCAAGGCACCAGTTATACTGGGTCTTACTATAGCGTATAGGCAGCTTCATTGCCTTACGGTAGGCCTGATTGGTTCGAATAGTCCCACGTGGCTGGGCTTTATACCATTGATCTCTTGCCTGGAGATATCGTTGATATATAGCCTCTGGATTGTGGCTAGCTAGCCGTTGAGGGTGTGGAGCTGGCTCTGCTGGCACCGCTGGCAACGCTGGCACCGCTGGCAGCGCTGGCAGCGCTAGCACTGCTGGCACCGCTGGCACCGCTGGCACTGCTGGCACCGCTGGCACCGCTGGCACTGCTGGCACCGCTGGCACTGCTGGCACCGCTGGCACCGCTGGCACTGCTGGCACCGCTGGCACCGCTGGCACCGCTGGCACCGCTGGCAACGCTGGCTGGGGCGGCTGGGCTAGCTGGGCCAGCTGCTCTGTAAACCGTTCAGGGCAGACTTTAGAGCTCCGCGTATGGCCAGTTTTATAGCATCGGCTACAACGAGGTGGTGCTTTTAGCCTTGGTTCCACACGTTCAAATCCACTAGGCTCGCGTTGTGTACTAGAGCTTGGTATAGTTGACCCTATAGTAAATAAATCAATACGTTGGCGAGGCTCTAGTAGATATGGCTGTGGATCGGTCCGTTGTAAGTGCCAATGGGTATGGAAATGGCCTAGTTAAAGTGGCTCGTTGTATAAGGCATGGATCGTATGGATACAGGGTAAGCCAGTTGACCAGGTAAAAGCTCTTATACAGGGTGGAACTGGAAGGGTACGTTCCATATAGATCCGGTGCTCCTCAACCTTCCGTAAAGCCTCGTGTGATACCCAGCCAAAGATTAGGCCATATATAGCCCTATCTAGTGTTAATAGCTTTTTAGTTTGTTGGTAGGCTTGATTGGCTTTTAGCTTGATGAGCTGGTTGGTCAGGGCTAGTCATATAGCGTTATAAGCCCCAAGGAGGTCTAGATCTAATCGTTCAAGGTACTCTTTTAATACCCCATGGATTCCTTCCACTCGTGATGTGGCTATATTGAAAAAGTATGGATACTGGTCGACCCACGCTCGTATAAGCCGTTCCTTATGTAGACCAAGCCATATAGATTTAATATAGTTGATTTGCTCAGGGTATTGAACAAGATATTTTTGCTCGAAACTAGCTAGCCGTTGGGTATAATCTTGCTCGGTAGGTGATTGGATAAGTAAATGCCAGTAGTCGTAAAACTCAGTCCATATATCTATACTTCCAGGGCGTATATTTTGCTGGCAAATAGAAGGTTTACAATGCTGAAGCACTGCCTTATTCACGTGCCAACGGCAAAGGAGTATAGCTGATTCTGGAAACGTGGTTGTTGCTGCGTTGATACAAGCCAACGATCGATCCATAAGAATAGTAGATGGAAGTGTCGTATTCGAATCCATATATATAGATCGTATATGTGCTAAAGCCCACGTATAATCTTCCTCATCCTCACCATTTAGGAAAGCAAAACCAACGCAAAACGTTCGCTGGCAAGCATCTATACCAACGATATCAAGAAGAGGCATCTTGTATTTATTGGTTTTATACGTGTTATCGAGTATCAGCGTTTCTGGATAGCTTTAGAGGTAGGTAAGTGAATCAGGATGTGTGAAGAAGACCGCTGTAATACGGCTAGTCGATGGATCTCGCTGGATCCGGCTATAAAAGCCTCCCTTTTCTAGCTGGCTAGCTAAAGCGTGGATTGGATTCTGGCCTTCGTAGGAAGCTCTTCGTAGCTCGGCTAGTTGATTATATATATCTTGTGGAGCGGGTTCAGATGTTGAATTTTGATGGAGGAAAGCCTGGATATTCTTTGGTCGTACGCCTGCCTTAACTAGCTTGGAAATAGTGTCGATATCACTTGAAGTAAGTGCACGGTGTGCTGGATGTGCTAGCTTATTGGTACTTGGATCGTGGTTATGGATCGAGTGCCGTGGGTCTGGTCGATATTTCACGATCCATTGTGATTTATCTAGAGACTCTTGAGCTAATATGGAGAACTGGCAACCAGTTGCTCGCGAGCTTGTTTGGCGTTTCCTGTTGGTAGTAGGAGATCTTGGTTTGCTGCAACAATCGCAGGCGTATGTGACTATTCGTCTTCCATTTCTTGTTGTAGATTTGCCAGTTGTAAAGGCATATCCTCTAGTTGCTGCCCATTGGTTGATAGCTTTCAAGAGGGCTTCTCGAGAGTTGAATATACCCTCAGGGGGTAGGCAATCAGTAGGAAAGGTAGCCATTTTAGCCATATAGTTGTATAGTTTAAGATCTTTTACGCGACGCGTTCGCGTAGATATAGTGGATATTACTAGTGTGGTTTGTGGGGGGGTGGCAGGGAGGAGTTCAACTGGCATGCTGGCTGTTTTTTTTTACTTTTTTTTTTTTTTACTTTTACTGCTTTTACTACGCTTTTTACTAGTTGATATTTACTATATTTATAACCACATATCCACTGCGCCAGCTGGCCGCTTTATTTTTTAAAATATAAGGGCATACGATCTTAGATATGGTCGTTGCCGCCCCCCCCCCCCCCCCCCATATGGGGTGGCCAGGGTTAGGGTTGTGCTTAGGTAATATTCGCGCCCCCCTAAAATCTTAGATTCGCGCGGGGCGCGAACGTATGCCACCCCTTAGGTCTCCTATAAGTTAGTCAGATGCTCAAGAACGGCGGAAAAGCTAGGAATACCTCTAGGCTGACAGTGATAGCAAGCAGAAAAGATTCGAGCAGTTTTGAGCAATCGCATTCCGGTATAAGACGTATAAGATAGTCGCACGCACCTGGTGGTGAAGATGAGACGAGCACGCTTCCCGAGTGAACTCACGGACCGAAGCGCAAGTGGGGTATTGCTCCGTGGCCGGCCACGGGCGGGGGTTGGCTCGGTCGGACTCGCTCTCAGACATCCACCGCTCCTTAGAAATCAAACTGGCCAGTCCAGCCGCATTGTTACGAGGCTGCCGAGTCTCCCTGTGCTTCATTGCACGGCAAAAGATCTCACTCCTATTTACCCGGGCAGCATTGTTCCCGTCCCTCAGCTTCCGTTAGGGCACGCTCAACTCACCGCTCGTACTGAAGATTGCCAGTATGTGTATCACCCGACCTGGTTGACCTTTGGCAATATCTTCCTAGTAGCTAACGAGACCCCCCATGCTAGACTTGGCAAAGGCAGAGGACTCTGCAGCTCCGTTCCCAACATGGCCAGCCCGATCGACCCTGGCAACCTCTTCCACGTCAAAGGCCTTGTGGCGCTGGTGACTGGAGGAGGCACAGGCAGGCATCCTATATTGCTACATGAGACTGGCGCGTGAGCCCTCTCTAAGAACCTTGCTGGCTGACACATGTTCCAGGAATTGGGCTTATGATCGCAAAGGCCCTCGCCGAGGCGGGTGCTCATCGCGTTTACATCCTTGGGCGGCGCTTGGATGTCCTCCAGGCCGCGGCGGCTAGCATCGGTCATCCAACTGTCGTGTCACCGCTCTACTGCGATGTGACGTCTAAGATCAGCCTCGAGAGCATTGCCTCGGTCATCGAGACGGATGCAGGCTACCTCAACCTGGTGGTCGCCAACGCCGGCGTGGGCGGGCCGCAGGTGCCGCCGCCCGGCCCTGACACGACGCTCGACGAGTGGCGCGACCGGCAGCTGGCGCAGGAGTGCGATGAGTTCACCAGCACGTTCAAGGTCAACGCTACTAGCGTGTGGTACACGGCCATGGCGTTCCTGAAGCTACTAGATAACGGGAACAAGCGGGGCAACGTGGAGCAGAGCAGCCAGGTCGTCGTGGTGAGCAGCGTGGCGACCTTCAACAAGACGAGCCCAGGCGGTTATGCGTACGGCGCAAGTAAGGCTGCTGCAACACATATTGCGAAGCAGCTGAGCACGGTGCTGCCGACTTGGAACATTAGGTGAGGCCCCGCAGGCGCGCGCGTTGTTTAATGCATGCTGACAGTATGGGTCCGCAGGGCGAACTGCCTCTGTCCTGGATGTGAGTCTAAGGTTCCTCCATACGGACCGCCAGCGGTGGGTATGTCTGCATACTGATAACCTCGGCAGTGTTTCCGAGTGAGATGTCGGCGCCGATTGTGGAAAGAGCCGGGGGCTCTCTCGCCTCGGGAAGCGACGTCATCCCGGTGGACACTAAGATGGTACCGCTCGGGAGGATGGGGGACGAGAAGGACATGGCAGGCCAGATCCTGTACCTCGCCTCACGAGCCGGAGCCTATCTAAACGGAAATACCATTCTGGTCGATGGTGGGAGGCTCGGCACCTTCCCCGGCTACGGATACTAGACGGGACTCGCCTCAGGTTTGGTAGATTGTCAGGGCTAGGGTCTCTAGAGAGTATTTTTTGGCGGCACAACAGGGAGATATAGGGGTACGGAAGAAGGCGGGTAGCTTGGCATGTAGACATACCCAGCGTACGGAGTAGCTTTGAATCTTGGAATCGCCTGGGCCGGGTTGCACGGACATTCATATTCCGACGCCTCGTTCGGATTCCTTCGGGCCTCGGATTTGATATACTGCCATTCCAAGAGTCCCGGCCGGATTTGGTGTATCCGGAGGGGAGCAGTCTAGTCGCCGGAAGGCATGCCGGACTCTTCCGTGTTCTCCCCGCCCCTGTCGCGAGTGGACCACTAACTCCTCGAAGCAGCCACAAGCCCGCGAGTCTGCCCAATGGCTAGCTTGGGTACCACAATGCAAATTCCC